CATGGTATGGAATATCCCTTTGGCCAGTTTGGGTCAGCTGTCCTGGCTGTGCCCCCTCCCAGCTTCTTGTGCACCTCCAGCCTTCTCAGTCGGTAGAGCATGGGAAGCTGAAAAGTCCTTGACTAGTGTAAGCACTGCTCAGCAACAACTAAAACATCGGTGTGTTACCAACATTGTTCTCACCCTAAATCCAAAACACAGCACTGTACCAGCTACTGGGAAGGAAATTAACTCTATCCCTGCCGAAACCAGGACACTACCTGTGGGGAAGACAGTTGCAAATTGAGATGCATCTCAGATGCAAGAGATCCCAGCTCCGGCTGAGCTAAGTTTGCAATTGCCCCTTCCGCGGTAGTCAGGGCAGTCCGCTCTTCTCTCCTGGGTGAATGTTCAATAGATGACAGAGGTCTTGGTGCGGTAACATCTTTTTTAGCACATGTAATAAAGATGGAAAACGGATGTTAATTCCATGCCATCAGCAACAAGCCCAGAATATTTCTTATAAGTGACTATAAAACCAACACAGTTATCCATAGGGTGTATTGGTATACTATAATAACATCCGATAAAACTACAGTAGAGCATATGAGGCTGGTATTGTGAGTGCCGTAAGATATCTTGGCGTATATACATCCGGATTGCTGACAGCGTTGCACCTATTTCTTTTACTTTGCAGACATTAGAGGGGCACCAAGGCCCAGTTAAGTGCTTGTCTTTCGATCAGTGGCACCTGGTGACAGGAAGCACCGATGGATACGCCCTGGGATGGAGCATGTTGGGAAGCCTCAAGAGATGCCTAATAGCTTACCGCCACCCTAAGTAGGAGTCGGATGTGTTTCAAGTTGTATTCAATGGTCCACTAAATCTGTAAAGAAAATGTCTCCCTTACAGGAATGCAAAATGCCTTAATTATCAGTCTTAGGATTTGAAATATCCCCACTTTCAACAATCTTCATCTTTAAAACAGTGTCAGGCACTACGTGGTCGCAACCAGTGTTTGTCAGTTAAGACCTACAACAACCTAAAATGCAAATACGCAACCACTTGTTCACAAACAGGGACGACTCAAGACTGACAGGGCATAGTCCGATATTCCAAGGATCCCATCCCGTATGCAAGAGCGTATCGCGCTACCTGGTCAAAAGGTATACTGTCTATGTCAGAGGTGGCCGAGTTAATGCTGAACCCTACCAGCTGTATATTATGTTATTTTCTAATACTTCGATTATTAGAACTGTGAAAACTGTAGCATCATACTATTTTCATTTACTTTCCTAGACATAAAAATGAAATTTAAAACGCAGCAGGTGGCCATAACCACACTGGTTGCTCTGAGGATGCACTGCGTTGGCTTGTTTGGACACGGAGTGATTATGAAGGACTTCACTACTAGGCCTTTTAAATATCTCAGTGAGCTGCTTTGTTTAGCCTGTTGATGGAGGCAGACCTTTGCATCTCCTCCAAGACACAAGAAGTAGTTGATCGTGTCTCCCTGTGAGACCGTGATGAATGTACCAACGCTGACATGTCGTGTTTTCAGGGAAGTTCTGTCTCTGGAGTTCCTCTATCTCAGAGTCATCAGCGGCTGTGCTGATGGAAAGATTCGTATATTTAACTACCTGACTGGAAGCTGCCTGAAAGTGTTGATGGCCAACAGCAGAGGGGACCCCGTATCTTCTTTCTATGTTGGAGAAAACAGGTTGGTGACAACAGCTGCAATCAGCTCCTGAAGCAAATTAGGTAGCTTACATTGTAATTTAAATAATCGTGTATTTTTCCTTTTACTGTCCTTCTCGCAAATAAGTTTTAAAGGGCTGTACTGCTTATTGACTGCTTCAATAACTTGTTTTTGTTAACAATGGCTGAAAATAGATTTGCTTAGTTCATTCAGCAATCTAAATCTGGTTTTATACAACTTAGGATATAGATCCAACTGTAAGGCTGCATTCAGAACCCAAATTTCCTAAGAGGTTGGAGAATCAAGCCAAGGCCTGACAAAGCCTTTACCTGTTCCCTGACCTGCTGTCTCTTTACAAAAGCCAATCATGGAAAACCCTTCCAGGTTCCTTCACTTCTGCACCTCTAAACAAAAGGCAGTTCCCAGCTTCTGTGTAAGCAATAGCTAAAACACTGGTGTGTTATCAGTGCTGTTGTGGTCACAACTCAAACACAGCAATATATGGACTGCTATGAAGAAAACTAACTCCGTCCCAACCAGACCCAGTACACCCCTGTCCTGGTTTCAGCTGGGATAGAGTTAATTTTCATCCTAGCAGCTGG